AAATTTTTTAAAATATCCGTTGCATCAAATGCGTTTTAGCTGAAGATAACTTTTAATTTTCTAGACATTTTAACTATAAATAAAGTTTAAAGCAAAGGCCAAAGGATAAATAATTGAATTAAAAGATTTTTGTTAAATGAGAAAGAAATAAACCACTCCAGCACTTATCCTGTACCACTAAGTAGCTCAATTCTTTTTTCGGGTGCAAACAATCAAAATCCTATTATTTAGAGTTTTTAAGCCTAATCATTTCTATGGTAAAGAACATGTTTTTTATATAATCTACAACACGAGAGAAAATTACTACTTAAAACATTCTTTCTAAGGGAATTAATGTAAAAATTTATATATATATATATATATATATTTAAAGCTAGAACAAGAAGAAGGAAAAATAATTTATTGTTTCTGGATCTGTACTGAGGTATGTAACCCTGCCATTTGAACTTGGGAAAATAAAAAGAGCAGAAATTTGTCACAACTATTTGCTTAGGAAACTGTTTCTAATGGAAAATAACACAGCATTAAAGTCATGGGTCATTAAATTAGCGAAACTTGGCGATTTTTGGCGGTACATGGATACCGAGTTTGTGCAATTCTTTGACTTGTTATTTTGGCTTGCGAAGCGGTGATTTTTGAGCCAGAAATCGCAGCTACACAAAGCCAAAATAACAAGACAAACAATTGCACAAACTCGGTATCCATGTACACATTGACGTAATTTCACTTTAAAAAAAAAAAACCCAAATTGCACAAAAATGGCATTGCGAACTCCTTTGAACTTTATCCATGTACACGTCGACCTATTTTCACTTAAAAAAAAAATCCCAGAATTGCACAAACTTGCATTGTGCCACTCCCTTTGCTTTGTCCATGTACACAGCAATATATTTTCACTTAAAAAGTCAAAGGAGCATCAAAGTCTACAATATAGGCAAACAAAAAATACATAATCTCAATAAAATACATTTTAAACCAAACAATAAAATAACAAACAAAGAAAATCATGTTATACATTTAAGCACTACCAAAAGCAAATATTCACTTACCATGATTTTCGAGTTCGCTTCGTACACCAGAGCCACGTAAAAATCAAAATAATAAATATAATAATATAAATAATAAAATAACAAAATAATGGAAGTTGATCTGTCAGCAGTATCCTTATCTTCAGGGCAGATGTTTTTATTTTATTTGGCTTAAAATTCCTTACTAAATGTAGTATTTCATCTCAATGTACTCTCTTTGATATGATTTAAATCAAATTCCTCGTCATTATAATTCACTTCCGATAGCGAAGAAAGTGACACAGAGGTTATTGAAAATGAAAAAATTTCGATTGACAATATAGTCGGTATTCTCGACACAGCAATTATAGGACTTGAACAGCCAAACTTTGTAACTGAACAAGAAAATAGAATATTATAGAATCTTAAAGAATTAAAGAGAAAGTATTATCATATAAAACGAAGCAACTTAAAGAACTTACATTGAAAGAAATGTTTAATAAAGTAAACAAATAAATATTAAGCTCCTTTGTTTTTTTTTTTTTTTTTTTTTTTTTTTTTTTTTGTAAATTTTGATACCCTTTAGATCATAATTGTTCTTTATTTTATAAATTACGGTTTCATATTTTTAATTTTATAATTTCTGCATGCCATCTTACCAGATTTAAACTGATGATCTATAATCCGGAAAAATCGATAATCCCGAATCGCCGAAGTCCCGACCAGTCCGGATTAACTACTTTTGACTGTATATAGTTCCAGTTGCAGAAAAAATGTGATTTCTGTTCAGCTGAAATTGTTTTCCGAAATTGATATGCGTTGAATAGTATGCTTAATCTATATTCATATAAAATATCTTCAGTTTCTTTTACCTGAATGAGCTGCTTTGAGTTCTTAATTTATTTGGGAAAGGAAAAGTCTCTATTAAAAAACCAATGTAAGAATCTATGACTATCATTTGCTGTTATGTATCATAGTTATGTTCGAAACTGAGCTTGTTGGAAAAGTGTGAAGAGTAATCCAGTGTTGTTGGATTGGAAGGTATGTAAACTAGAAAATTATCTTAAGTTTTAAGATAACAGTGCTTAATTTTTGGTTATATGGACATCAAGACGATAATCAAATGCTTGATATATATATCCTTTACAGTTCTCTCTAGTGTGGTAAAAATATATGAGATAATAAAATCATTTTCAAGTACATAAAGATGGCAGAAAAATTATGTAACACTTCTATGTATTTGTCATTCCATATATCTGGTTAAATGTGATCATAGTGTGAATAGTCCAAATAGACCAAATTTATAGCATTACCTCACAATAGTGACCTAGATTATCATTGACCAACAGCCTTGATGGCCGCTGGTTACTTTTATTTATATTTGATAATCTGCTTAAATTTATTGCGCAGCCTCACACTAGCAATCTTCAACTTGCAGGTCATTGATGACAAATAGCTTTTAACAGTCACTGCATTCTTTTGATTCAATTGTGATAGTAGTAGCATTTTTAATGGAGTCATTCCAGAATTTTTTATTCAATTTGAAAAGAAATGACAGGTTATAAATGTTTTTTTCTTTTCATATTATTATTGCAGTATATCTAAATAAAAGACTCTGTAGTGATATTATCCTTCATTATAAAAGTCTGAAATTCAGAAAAGGAATAATATTATATTAGAAGGTTTATATGCCATAAAACTGAATTTTGAAAACATTTGTTTCTTGTGAACAGGCACACATATATCTGGAGTTAGAAATTTTGCTAACAAAAATGCTGTAGGAATTTGGCTTCTGGTTGATATTATGCTAATGATTTTTGCTGTATGCCTGTGTTTAAAGTAAATAAAACATTGCTTGTTTTGTATATTCCTGTTCAAATCAATCAGACATTATTAATTCAATCCTTTCAAACATTATTAATGGCTGTATGTTTGATTGATTGCAGAGCATTCAAATATGTCCCAAAGTAATAATCCCCCCCCCAAATATGGTGGGCTCTCAGCTGACTTTATTCTAAGGCCAGAAGCGATAGTCACTTTATTATGGAGCCACCTAACAGATGGGCCATCTTTGTCTCCTATGAAGGGATGGACAGTTAGAGCTGTGCCTTCTACAGGATTCAAATCCGGGTTCTTTGGTATTACATTTGGGTCCCCTAACTACTATACAGTCTGGGTGGCCCCAAAATAATGTAGTATGATTGAAAATATAAATTTTTTTTTTATAATTGCAAAATAAATTGTTTAATGCAATCCCTCTTTTCTGCTGTGCATTTCCCCAACATCCTGGAAATGGGTTTATCCTGCAAAGTAGGTATTTTGTTCAATGTGTAACTAATCTCAAATTGAAATGATCATGCTTAATGCTGGAGATTAAGTCTGGACTATAATGAGAATGTGATAACCAGAGCTTAAAGATAACCAGAGCTTAAGAGCTGTGCCAGACCCCTTTTATTGTAATTTAATAACAAATAATCCTTAAAAATCAATTTTAACTTCTGAATGCATGCCTGTCTTTCCTTGAGAAACAAACCCTTTGATGCAGGTTAAGATTTGAAGGAAAGAAAAGTTCTCCACATTACATGTCAAAGGCTTATTTTGTAGGAAGTGCAATGAATTTATAAGAACAGGCAAATTTTTTGTCCTCGGAAGTACTTAACATGATCACCCTGGTAGTACATGTACAATGATAGTAACTCCCCAAGGAAAGATAAGTCTTTTTTTAATGATGTAACCAAGTATGGAGGAAGAAAAATGTGACTTGTGCATTTCTTACATTGTTATAAGGTTGGATTCCAAGCACCTCAAAGCTACAAAGTTTATGCGCATGTGCATTTAATGCTCGCATCCGCATAAAGCGTTTACCCATGCATGCTTCCGATAGTGAAGAAAGTAACAAAGAATGTTATTGAAAACGAAAAAATTTCGATTGACAAGTTTGTCGGTATTCTCGGCACAGCAATTAACGGGACTTGAACAGCGGAACTTTGTAACTGAACAAGAAATTATGTCTGTTTATAGAATTAAAGAGAAAGTATTAGAACAAAAAACGAAGCAACTTAAACAACTTACATTGAAAGAAATGTTTAATTAAGTAAACTAATAAATATTAACATTTTTTTTTTTTTTTTTTTTTTTTTTTTTTTTTTTTTTTGTAAATTTTGATACCCTTTAGATCATAATTGCTCTTTGTTTCATAAATTACGGTTTCATATTTTTAATTGTATAATTTCTGCATGCCATCTTACCAGATTTAAATTGATGATCCATAATTCAGTAAAAAAGCCCTAATCCGGAATCGCCGAAGTCCCGACGAGTCCGGATTATGGACTTTGTACTGTACTAAATATTTGTTATAGAATTTCTTTATATATATATTTTTTATTTTTCAGATAAACAGAAAAAATAAAGCGTTTCCATGTTATACTAAATACCATTCATTTTTTTATTATTTACCTATTTATCATTAATTTAATAGTGTATTAATTTTTATTTATCTCTTTATATTTTAATGCATTTTAACTTTAATTGTAATATTTTACATTTTTATTTATCTTATTTATTTTTTCTCTTTCTTCTTTTCCTTATCTTTAGAACTCTGGCACTTCTAACTTTAGAAATTAAACCCTTTTAATAACACATTCTACCATCTGTATGTGATAAATATTGTCTACAAAGCTTGATTTAAATTTAAAAGCTTGATATTTTTTCTGACTAAAAATTAAACAGTACTTTTTTGTCCCACAAATTGAAGCTCTTTGTATATGCTGATCTGCATGTGATTGGCAAGATTGAACTATTGTTGTGCTGTAGGTATTACTTATCAATCAGAATATCCACGATCACTTAATGTCAGCAGGAATCACTAAAAAAATTAGCCAGGTCATATTTGTCATAAAACCTGATCATATTTTAATGCCTTAGTAATAAAATAGTGTCCTTTGATATGACTAAATTCTGCTTGTTTATTTATCTAACAAACATTCATTGCAGAACTTGCCTGACTGCTCCAAAAAACAGAAGATTCGCCGAAAGACTGCAGAAAGGCAAAAAAAGCATGCAGGGTCTCGAAACTTCATCATGCCTCAAAGTTCTCTTAAAGGATTCTACCCTAAAGGTCCACAACAGATCAATTCTAAAAATGGTCTAAGTCATCAGTCGTACTACTTTGACTGGAATCCTGCAACCATTCCTTTACCATCATCCAGAGTCTCTCGTGCCAACGGGTTCTGCCCTCAGGATTCATTTTTGGCCCGTCGTCCAAGAAAACCAACTCGATCTACTTACCCCAACGATCGATACCATTGGGCAAAAAAGTGATTGTTACATAGAAAAATGTAATCATTTGTATAGAAATTTTCAGATTTTAAATTTGTAATTAAATTACTTTTTTTTTTTAGTTTTTTTAATAACCATTGTTTAATTGATTTCAGAGATTTAGGAAGTCAGATATATAAAATCCGGTGTTTTAATTCATGTGTGGGCTTTCAAAGATACAGAATGCTTTGTAAATGCATTATATTTTTATTAAAGTATGTTTTATGAGATTTAAGTATGTGTTTGAATTTTTAGATTCTTATTTTCAAGGAAAAATTTATTTTATTTTTTAATGTATTACTGATGAATTTTTTTAGTATTATATTATGTTGAAGTTGAAAGTATTTATATATTGATATGTATTTTACAACATATTTCAGTTCAAATTTGAAGCATATTTGTATTTTTGTGGTAATTGCAGTTCTGTAAGATATACCTCAGGTGAAATTGCATAACAGAATGGTAAAATGGGTATTTATCGAAACGCACAAATATCTGAAAATGTTTCCTTGGCAGACATATCGAGAACTATATGAGGTGACTGTGGTGTGTTTTCTCAGGATGTATGTGTGTTAAATTCCGGTGATGTTAAGTTTTGTAAAGTTATCACAGTTTAAATATCTATTTCTGTAATTAAATGTGTAATTACTCATTACTGTTTTTATTAAGATTTAAATGTGTAAATCTGCTAAATTCAAATTCGTAACCATTATCAGACCTTCTTATAATACATATCTGTACTAGTCTTATTGATTCATTTATTAGCAGTGTGGCATCTTTGGTTTGAAATGTATTTTTCAGGGCATTAAAAGTTCAATTTGTTTCAAGGTAAAAATTGTTTCAGACATTTTAAAATATGTATCATCTTGTTGAACTGCGAACTTTCATCATCCATTTTTGAATGCCATTGAGTATTGTAGTGTTTAATGTGTTTGTATTTTCGAATGCTTCAAGGTGGAATGGCAAAAGATCAAAGTGCCCACCATTGTTGTGAAAAAGTGCTTACACAGTTTTTTTGATACCAGCATTAAAACAGCCAGTATTTTAAATAAGTGGAGTGCACTAAAACCTTATGCGGCGAGAAATTTGATACAAGTTTCTGGCCTTGCTCTGTAGGTGGTGGTTCTGCATATTCGTTCACAAATTCTGCTGCCTGCAGAGTATGGTATGCTTTAAACTCCTGAAGATCGCAAGTTTGCGATCTGGCGATAGCCGATTGCCCGGTTCTATTTCATTTTGAAGCACCAGAGTTAAAATATTCTTTTATTCTCTGCTTAAACCTTGAAGAAGCAATGTTTTAAAATATGGTTAATATTTTCTTTGTTATATGCTGTTGCATTGTGCATTGTTGGAAACAAGTAGCAGCAAATGTAAATTAGTGTGCTTATGAACTAAAATGTGCCATTTCCATAGCACCATTGGCAATAATTTGCTGGTAAGTCTACCTTACTGTTACTAATTAATCTTACACTTTCACAATATGCTTTTCATAAGTCATATCTCATATCATTTTGAGGGAACTAGTGCACTCTCAATTCTTCGTTGATACTATGCACAATTCATGACTTGGCAAGTAAATATTAAGAAGAAAAAAAAATTTAGAAAACAACAAATAAAACAATATTATTATGTTAATAATAGAACTCAGCCTCAGAGCTAATCTGATTATCTCTGATAATCACTAGCGAAAATACAAGGACGCACATAGTGGCAAATTATTTGATATGGAACTCATAAGTATCAAACGTTTAAAATTTTTCATAGTCATTTGAAAAATTCAAACTTTTTTTTTTTTTTTTGTTTTGATTTTAGAACAGGTCTGTCTATTTTGCAAAATGATTCTAACATAAGCGTCTGATATTCACTACCGTTTAAATTTAACGCTCATGCTCTTTATGTAACCAAAGAGTTTCTGAGTCTACCACATCAGAATCCAATACAATCGGTGCCCGCATTCAGGAAGTTTCCCATTTATTTTATAAAGGCCTTGGTGCACTCCTGGCTGTCTATTCATGTTACTGAACAAATACTTTTTGTAATGTGTCAATTATTTTTCAATAAAAGTGCATGGATGTTGTTTTCAGTGTTGATCTTTATTGATGAGCTACCCGAACATTGACAATAACCTCCGACCCATCCATCGCCAGTTATTACTTCGCGATTGCAGGAAATGGAATGGGTGTAGCCATTTATCAAAGCATATACCAAAACACGTAACGTAATTGGGAAGCTCTTTCGAGCCACTTTGCGATCGACACCCATTTTCTCGTATTTTATTACTGTTTAGTCCGAGATTGAAGGACACGGAGATGGAGGACCGAGTTTGGCCGTCTTCCAAGGCACTGATTATGCTTATATTTTTTTTATCATTGTTTGGAAACCGCATGGTCAGTAGCAGTCTATCGGTGATACTGTTTGTCTAGGACGGGACTGTAATATTCCAAGATGGCGCACTCTAAAACCTACACACGTAAGTACCATTTTATCTTCTGTTTATAGTTTGGAAACGCATACTGTATTTCATTTAATTCAGTGGCCTTCAGTCTGAGTTTCGTGGAATGCTGCTGTTCTATGCGGGGCTTGCGGCAAGTTAAAAATCTATAACTTGCCGCAAGCCCCGCCCGTTATATTCAAGTCAGTAAAGTTTGAAAAACGCTGGTTTAATATTACGGGATTCTTAACGATTTTTATAAAACAACGGTGGAAACTCGTAATATCCATATCTCATTTAACCTTCAGGTTTTCTTATCCATGAGCCATTCTACTAGTACGATGGACAGAAGGAATCAACGGAATGTAAGCAATTTAAAATTAATTGTACAATAAAATAAGCGTTTTCGTATTTATAATAAAAGGCTCAGAAACTGTTTTAAATCTAGTTTTTATGCCAGTTTGGATAAATCTCTACAGAAAAAGAATCTTCGTTAAAAATTACTATTGGGATTCGGAAATCATGGTTAGTCGTCCATGAATAATTTGCTGAGCAATTTGTGAAAACAGTAGGTACCAGTAAGTAAAACTTCCGACAGAGAATTCTTAAAATGAAGTCTTCGTATGCGGTAATAAAAAATTCATTTGAGCTAAAGGGATGAGAGTGTTATGCTCAAGGTGGTATTTGTCTTGTGGGTGGACTCTGTTATGGATTTATTTTTAAATATTATTTGTTGCATACAGTGGTAAACGAGCTAAGAAGCTTTATAATGAATGATCCGTTTTCGATTTTAATCTTGATCAGGGCCGTACAACAATTTCGGTCGTACCGTGAGGCAGAATTTATAGAATTTTGGCTCAAAATTTGTACCGGGCGGCAAAATTCTTAGCGCCGGCCCTGATCTTGATCTATGGTAAAAATTGATTTCTCATGGTGATTGTGGTTAGAGTGGTGGTATTCAAACTTTGTCAGTTTAGAGTATATATAAAGTTATAACTTCTTTTAATGAAACATTTACCACCTCTAGAAAAGTAAATGCGATACTATTCCGTTTTGAGGACCGTAAAAATATTGCAGCGAAAATATATGCGCAAAAGCGCCAAATCTAGCTAACGCGCCCATATAACTGCGCCACAAATCTAGCGTACGCGCTGATTTCAGATTGCGTAAGTTTATATAGTTCTATATTTCTTAAGACGCCATTGAAATACTAGTTTAATTTTTAAATCCTTTTTTGATATCCTAAGGATTTAACAATTTGGGAATTGGCCATGACGAAAAGTGTGCAATAGAATTTTGGGTAAAGTGCAGAATCACCCACTGCTTGACGCGTTTTTAAGAATTGCACATACTCGGTAACCATGTACACATCGACCTATTTTCACTTCAAAAAAAAATCCCAGAATTGCACAAAAATGGCACTGCGCACACCCTTGACTTTATCTACTATGTACACATCGACCTATTTTCAGTTAAAGTAAAAAAAAAAGTAAGAAAATTGACAAAAATCAAATTGATTTTACCCTTGTAAAAAGCGGCAAACAAGTAAGTGAGCGATTCTGCACTTTACCGAGAATTTTTTCAAAGAAAAGGCATCATTCATTATAGAAAATTGTTTAAACAACCAACGAGATGAAATATGCTTTAGCGATAACTCGGTAGCGAAATAGCGATGCTGGCGTCCATTCAGTTATGTTTAACAATTTTGATATAAGTTATAATAATGATCAGAAATAGTTATTTACTCTTATACTTCCATTCAGTCATGTTTAGCCTTTTTTATATAAATTATAATAATAAAGTATTATATGAAATTAACCTTTCAACTAAATTAAAACATCAATCTTTTAGATAGTTATTTACTGTTATACTTCCTTTCTTGCGTTAGGGTTGCCGCAATTATTTTTAGCAGCACTGGCATCAACAATCGTTTGGCGATTTTTTACGGCCCTCAAAACCGAATAATAGTACGTACCGTAAATGCTATAAAGGCATTGAAAATATATCAATATTCTATGTTCATTATGGAGAAAATTAAAAAAACAAAAATAATTTTTGTCGTAATTTTATCGATAAAACCAAAAACAAAATCCCTAGAACTCCAAGGTTCACTGGAAAATACTTATTCAAAACCACTGGATTGAGCTAATCACAAAATGTAGAATGTATTTGATTATATAAAAATATCTTAATGGAATGGTACTAAAATAAAATTTCCAGGTTATGCACCGTAACCATGGGAACGACAACCGTAGAAAAAGATTTAAATCGCCTTTTTTTCTTCATTCCTATTTAGTGCGTTTCGCTTTATGAAAAGCGGTCGAATGATGGCTGACTTGAACTGCAATCTCAATTTGTGCAGTCCAGCTAAGCCAAAGAGTAGGAAGCAAGTGCGTTATGTTCAGGGTGAACTCTTAATTCAGACTGAGTTAATTTTGGTTCCCAATGCATTTTGATTGAATGGTTAATATTACTCTAAAATTTCTATTGGCTGCTTGAGTTTTAGTTCCATTTACATCACCAGAATTATGTAAGAGTCATGTGACATGAATTAATTTAGAAATGACGCAGTGCAGAAAGGGGTTACTCTTTTTAGAATTGAGAAGGGAAATTTACATTGCTAATTTAATCTTTCAAATATTCTTTATTTTTCTTTTTCTTACATATTTATATATCCACTCAGTTACTTGGTTCCATGAGTCAGTCTTTTTATTCTTATATGTTTGTAAATTGTGTATTTTTTGCTTTAAAATTGATTGAATTATGTTGTTCATATCTTCCGGTTAAGGTTTTTATGCCTTTAGTCAACCTGCATGTTATAGTTGTAAAATTAAATGCAATTTAAAAGTTGTTTTAGTGCGGCGTAATTTTTTTACCACAGTAGCCATATTTGTTCACATTTGAAACTTAGCAGAATAGTGGATTTGTTGCCAATCTAGAGAAACCAAGCTTCTTTTATTATTGCGAATTAAATTATGCATAATCCATACTGGAATTATCATTTAAGTTATTAATTTATCTCATATATAGACTCAGCATAGCGTCCACAACAAATTAAATCAGTTTCTGTCGAGCAAGTTTCTTTTTGCAGAGTGAGACCAAAAGTAAACATTAAGTTTTGTGCACCAAAAAATCTGCCTTCTTGCCCGCTGGCCGACTTGCTTGTTTTTGCGTAGAAACTTTAATTTTAATTGTTTTAACTGTATTTGGTGTTTTATGTTTTTCCATATCTTTCAATTTTTAATATAGATATTTTCAGTTTTTATGTCGTATTTTTGCCATGTCGCGAAGTGAGAACTGAATTAATTGAATAAAGTATATTTCTAATGAAATCGGAAAAAATAAAGTAATCTCTAATGAAATTCGAAGAAATAAGTTTAAATGAAATGCAAGAAAAATTGCATATAATTTAATATTCTGTACAAGAAAGTCATGAGGTGTACACATTAGATTTTTTTAAAAATAACTTTCAACAATATTAAGTTAAATGCGTTATGTCACTCCAGAGGGGTAAATGGTCGTCCTCATCAAATATGGGACCTTTTAAATCAGGGATCCCCAAACTATTATGGACAAGTGACCCCTTTTCCAAAACGAACTGTTACCTCAGACCCCCATGACCAAATTACCTACTTTTAAGATCAACCCCCTTATTCATAATGGTCCGCTAACTTAAAACAGCTGCTACAGAGTGTTATTTTTCATTCTGACTTAGATCAATAGAAGAAGACAGAGTGAGAATTAGCAATGCTTTAAGTTAGCAGACTATTATGAATAAGGGGGGGCCTATCTTTAGTTTTTTCCTATTGATAACAAATACCTAGGTACTAAGGTACCTAATTGGAAAACTTTGCACTTGGTTAAGTGAGTAAAGTTGACTTCATTTTCTCATCAAAATTTAACAAAATAAAAAGACATACAATTCAGTAAATATCAAGTTTAATTTATAATGATTATTACAAATTGCGTACTTAAAGAATCTTAAGTAGGTAGGAAATTATATTTAAAAAAGTATTAATTCGCAAAGAGAAAATAAAATATTCAGTGTGATGGATGAACCTGGTGACTATCTACCAATCTAGCTACATTCGGTTCAATATTGGTGAGTTGCAGCTTTAAATCTCCACTTTGGTTGATTTTCAAACGGTTTCTTTGTTTCGTCAAAATGTTCGTTACCACACTGAAGCTCTTTCAACTAGGTATGATGATGGAAAAGCGATAAGGTATTTTTCAGCAATGTTCCACAATGTAGGATACTGTGTTTCAATGTTGCGTTGCAACCAGAACTTCTGATAGCCTTGGTTGAACTTCTGCTTAAGCTCTTCGTCTGTGCTGAACTCTTCTTGCATTATCACATTGGCTTCTTCTATGGCTGTGGTATTGTACGGATTTATTATCCATTGAGGAATTTGTAAATTTAAAAGATCCTCAAACCTCTCCGTAAAATCCTTGTGTAATGCGTCCAAGTGAGTGACATATATAATAAAATGTCATCATATTGAAGCAATTTCTGGTAATTTTGACAAATGCGAAAACTGCGAATATTCTTTTCTGCCTAAATTTTGTTTATAAAGGATTAGTTTACCCACAAAGGCCGATATTATTGATTTTGTTTTAATCAAGTTAAGATCGTCACCCTGCAGTTGCAAATT